CTAGGGCCTGGCATAATATATGCAGCCTTCATATCTTCCCTAGATGGAGTAAGTGCCATGCTTTGAAGGGGCAGGATAGCACATTTTAAAAAGATGGAGCACCATATTGAGTCCCAGCTGAACGACTCTCAAATCTGCAAGTGTTTAGTGGTATTTTCTCTTAAGAGATTGTTGATATATCAATATCATGCGATAAATCAAAAGAATGAAAATGATCAGACTATGAGAAGGCTCATCTATAGTTGTTATTGTATTGCCATCACTAGACACTCTGATACTCATAGCATCTTTCTGTCTCACCTGAAGGGCTGGGAAGAAATAAAATGTCATGGTTTATCATGAGGATCCCTTGAAAGGATATGGCATTTCCCACCTGCTACACAGTAGATTTTTTCTTGGCACATTCTGGTCTTATCATTCAATTAACTGAACTGGTATAGTTTCTTCTTGATTGCATCCTTATTCATGAACTCATTCCAATCTTAAGGGACTCGTGTATTTTACATTTGATAAGGTGAGGTGCCACCACCCTCTTCTTCTCCTATCAGGTTCGTTTATAGAATTTTGGATTTAATTGTCACATCATCACTCTGCTGTTAGAAGTATCTTGAAAAACATGTATTTTCTGCCAGCTCCAGAAACAAAACGAATAAAGCAAAGTGTAGTGCTGGACAAACAAAGAAGACTGATTAATATAAAAAAAAAATTTATGTTAAGCCACAATGCCTTACAACAGCAAAACCAGATAAACCAATTGAAATTGAAGTTTAGACCCCATACTAAAACAATCAAATACTATGAAGGAATCGACATCAGTCTTCTTCCACCTTGTCAAGAGCTTACTACAAAGCACTTATCATGCATATGGCCCATATTGTAAACCCTGACACTCCAGCAGAAGATGGACATGGATGGAAACTGAATGACTCCACCATTGCATTGGGTATTGACTGGTATTCTCATACAAATGATTGTTGATATAGCACCAGATGATGAATCAGAAAGACTCCAGAAGATGTATCTTATGAAATCCAGGACTCTGAAGATGAAATTGATACTTAATGCTGACTTGTTCCCCCACACCTCCAAATTCTGTTACTACCCCCATCCCATACAATAATTATATACAGTATATTGAGAAAACTAAGAAGACCCAGAAAATACTCTATGAAGAAGTCCAAAAGAAAGAATTTATACTTAAGGCTGATTAACTCTGCCCCCTCCCAATACTGTTAACCCCACTCCTCCTCATCCAATAACCATTGCACTGAGTTGTACATTATTTACCAGAAAATATAAAGTATAATCAAAGAAGTCCAATGTAAATGTATCTCAAGTCAAGTTTAACTCTGTTTTTATAGAGAATAGCAATCATCAACTCGACGCCCACTTTTGATTACTTGTGTAATAGTATGTTCTTTGACACTGACCAATCATGTAAGTTGTAATATCCCATATATTGAGATGAATATGAAGAAGATCCAGAAGATGTACCCCATGAAATCCAGATATATGTAGATGAGATTTATATTTAAGGCTGATTAGCTCTGCCTCCTCCCAATTCCTTTACTACCCCCCCCCCTCTGTACCACCCCCCCCCCTTGCAATAACTATGACACTTGGACTTACATTATTTACCAGAAATGCTTGATATAAAATATAATCAAATAAGTCTAGTGTAAATGTATCTCAAAAGTCAAGTTAAACTCTGTTTTTATAGAGTATAGCAATCATCTACTATTATGGGGGCGATGCCCACTTTTGATCACTCATGTAATTGTATGTTCTTTGACACTGACCAATCATGTAAATTGCAATATCCTTTATATTTAAAAAGATGTTTGAACTGTACTGGTTATTTTGAGTGTGCTAAAATGTGCTGATATGTATTGATTCAAAAAATAATCCATATTCTACATGATGTTCATGTTCAGGTTTTGCAAAATTAAGGATATTTTGAATGAAAATTGTGGTTTCCATGACAACCATGAGTGACAGAGCATTGAAATTTTACATACTACCTCAGCATGATCCAATCAAATCCCCATAAAATTATTATGATGATTGAAGACTAACAGAACGATTTATTCAATGATGATAAAGTACCCCCTGTAATTTTCCATTTTAGGGTCGAAAACCCCATTTTGACAATTTTCGCCCCGGATATGGCGTGTCAGACAAACATTTTCTGAATTATCACATAAAAATACATAAGATACAAGTAATTTCAATTTGTTCACGAACTAATACATTTTTGGGTGCTAGCTTACTACCTATAATATATGATCACCTAATGTAAGGAATAACTCCACCGTTATTAAAATCGTATGCTCAATATCTATTAGGTTTTCCTCAGGATTTTTAACAATTTGATTCGATGTTATTCCCTAATTCGCCTCACACAATGCAATAGAATTTCAATTTTAATTTTCAAATTGCAATAGGTAAAAAACGCTACATATGCTGCTATTGTTCTATGAGTGAACTATGAACTGTAGTGTAACATAGTTTTCTAGCGAATTAAATTACAACATCTGTTGATCTTGTTAAATCATATATCTGTCTTTTTTATTTATTCATATCTTGACTACAAATTACAATAAACGGGTGACACATAATGTATATTCCCGTGTTTAGTACTAATACGATTATTTTCAGAAGCACAGACAAATTATTAAGCAACAAAACATGGTCAATGTGAACAATATTACAAGACAATTCAAAGTCGTTAATTTTATCACGTCTAAAACGTTATCTTTACAATTCCAAAACGTTAACATGCTTATTATAAGACACGTCCATGACGTTATATTGTCCCTTCTCCATAGTTAACTCCACTTTCTACATTTACGGTCATTTATGACAATTTAAAGATAAATACAGTTAAAATATTTACACGATCTTTAGAGTAGTGAATATTATTCCACGTTGTTGAATGGATTGTCTGTTTAAACTTGATTAAATAACACTAAATGCAAATTAAGTACATATTTCTGGCACTTTTGGTATATAATTGCGATTGATATGAAGTATGATGGATTTATCCCCAAAATAGATTCGTTGGTATGAAGAAGAACATCTTAGGTAGAAGTCAAGATATGTAAGTTTGTAAAATATAGAATATTCTTACCATTTTGCTCCATTCTATCGAATGTCGCATCCCATGTTCTTACAAAACACGACTAAAGAGTTTAAAAAAACACGACCGGGCCGATTTGCACTGTTAACTCTTGGTCACCGTGATTAACATCTCAGAATTCGAAATGTAACAGGTATAAGAGATCTGATTCCTTCAGCTGTTCTAGAAAATCAAGTATGGATACATGGTTTTTGTTGATCTTGATGTCAGGTGCTTTACAAACTCAAAGACACCGCATATATACCCAAGGCTCCCAAGCAGCGTTGAATTCGGTTTTACCGTCACTGCATGTTTAAGGTGGTGTAAAGGTCTACGGTATTACAGCGACCGCAATGATGTCAACATAAGTTCAGTTTCATCTATTTTTACTATCTAAGAACTATTTTTGAATAGCACGACCAGATTTTATAAACATGTCCGATTAATTAGTGTCTAACCAGTGGTCGGTGTGGTAAGAGACTAGAGAGTAGTACCTTGCACGGTTGGCACCTTGACCTAACGTAGACATACCACCATCTGCTAGAACATTCTTCTGTTATTGTTTACATCCGTAGCTTCAACAACAAAGTAATATAATATGATCATTGCAGTAATCAAAAACCACAAGAGCTGCCTACTAACATGTTCATACGTGGAATATATCACTACAGGCAGAATTACTCTCATTTAAATATCAAGCCCGGTGTTAATTTATTTCGATTAATTTATTTCGATTAGTTTTGTATAACGCATGGAAGCTAACTTTAAAAAGTGAGCAATGTCATTAGTATTGTGATAATAACGTCCCTTATACCTATTTATTACAGGTCGTGTAGACCATTGTTGCCCGATTTATAGCAAAAACATTGACTTATGTACGTTGGTGATGATGCGCCTTTTTAATAGATCTCATATCTTCGAAGGGTATCAGTTCAAAAAATACTAGATGACCTTACATATCTTTCCATGCACTGCGCCTATTTATTTGGCAATTCAGTTGTAAATTTTCTCTTGAATAAATAAATCTTCCAAATTTGTTGAGTTTTCTTGCAGAAATCGCCTAATCTCCATCCCATTTGTACGATCGCAGGGCGTGAATATCTGAGCGATTTTTTCGAATATAATGTTGAAGATGTTACAAATTTTAAATATTGAAATATTGATTGTACAAATCCTAAATATTATTATCATATACTATTAATCTTGATATATTCGATCAGACAACACTATGGGCAACATTTGAATCAGAGAAAAAGTGGAAACAACACATAATGGTACCGTGATATTAAAACATTATTTGGATGGGTCATATTTTAAATCAGACCAACCCTACAATCCACACTCCAAATTGAAGAAGTAATTGCCTTTTTTGAAGCTTCAATTCGATTTTTGCATGAGTTCCCATGTGATAAATATAGTACTTGTTATGCTACACAAATTGCCTTGGATCAGAATTGATTTTCTTATTAACCCTGTCCCAAGTGCGTTAGATACCGCGAGTTGATTTTTAGTTTCCCAGCAAAATAAACCAGACTCATGAAAATTATCTATCAATCTACGGTAAGGTATTTCACAGATGCGCTTCTGTTTGGTTTAATTTCATATAAATCTCCTGGACTGGCCAGTGTATTGATTTCAGTGCAGCTGTCTTATCTAAATTAATTTGAGGTTCCGATATAAGCAGAAAGACAACTGCAATAGCTGATTAAGTTACAAATTAAGACAATTCAGGGCCATTGAGACAAGTGGTCGGGTATCCTTATAAGCAATTATGAAAAAGAAGGTAAAGTCATCTCTTAGAGAACTTCAAACCATTAGAATTTGATGGTAATCACTTATTTTACTACAGCTATACTAATAAACTTTTATTTTATTTTTTCAGGCCACTGACTTGACACCTCAGATATACAGCCTCCATATCCGCAGTGACATCGCTTACAGATGGGCGACTACACAAGTTACCAGCAAACTGGCAAACCCGGGCACCTCGGCCAAAGAGGCAATGTTCAGAATTGTTCTTCCAAAGGCTGCGTTTATCGCCAATTTCTCTATGTAAGTGATCTTGTTCATGTCTATTGATGATTTGGGGGGAAATTCCTTCAAAACAAGATCACCATATTTCATATTTCTTAACTGTACACTGTTTCACAGCTGGATGGCTCTAACTGCAGTTAGTATCATTTAATTATAAGATGGTGGCCAAAATTCTTTCGTTTTTGATATATCAACGATTTCAGCTAAACTAAGACGAATCTGAATTCCAAATGTTTCGCCATGCAAACTAGTAATAACGTAACAATTGTAAACAGCCAGGAAAAAATGCTCAAACACCGGCATTAATAGAGAATCTTAAAGAAAACAGCTTCACTTAGAACCCGACTTAGAATGACTCTATCTGAAGTTGATGATACATAAACTCACCATTGATCTTTTTGATGACCCTAACTCAGATGGCACTGGCAGGTCCAGAAGCTAACAAGTGGGGAGGGGGGGGGGTGCACATTTCAAGTCAGGAAAATGCGCGAAAAAAAAACAAAGATTGGGCCCAAATCTTAAAAATCTGACGCCCATTCTTTGATAATTCGGCCTAAGAAAGGTCCAAGAAGGCAAAGTCATGCCCAAAACGGTCCATTTTTTAGGCCCTGCCAATTTGCCAAAGGATGCCTTAAACTTAACTTCATAATATGAAGCTCATAATGTTGTCTTGATCACAGGGAGATTGACGGAATTATCTACCCGGGCCATGTAAAAGAGAAAGCTGAGGCAAAGAAGACCTATGATGATGCTGTCAGACTCGGCCATAGCGCTGGACATATACAACAAAAGTAAGTACTATCCTTATCGCATTATCCATATTTGGATTTGAAGTTAAAAATGATAAATCACATAAGACTGAAGGAATAGACTGGTTTAACATATTGGTTTATGACTGAAGGAAAACACTTGTTACACAGTATGATGACATATGAAATAAAATATGAATAATACAAAATGTGTAACGAATATTCACAAGACTCCTCCAAGAAGTTTGTTCCAATTTTCACAGACTCTACCGTAAAAACCGTTTATTATCAATGAGATCTCAGTTCAAATAGCACTCTACTCCTAGGACAAGAGACAGCAATGACTTCAAGGTGTCAGTGAACGTTGCAGCCAAGAACAAGGTGACATTTCACCTTACATACCAAGAGTTGCTCAGGAGACGCCTCGGGGTTTACGAACACCTGATCAATGTTAATCCGGGTCAGGTGGTCAGAGATATGAAGATTGATGTCCATGTGGAGGAATCTAGAGAAATCACTGCCCTAAAGGTGCCACCACTTCGCGAGGATGTTGCAAACACTATCGACTTTAATGAAGGTACAAAACGAACATTTGCGTGTCAACCCTACTCACACAGAGAGCTAATCAAATGCTCAGAAAAGAGCTGATTTGCCACATAATATCAAAATTGCGGAAAATGAATAAATGAACCTGCTAGAAATCATACATAATTTAACTTCAATGCAATCTTCATCTACTAGATTCTAATACTGTGCTCTCTTAGGGTAAATGACTCACACATAAGCTGGTAAGCACTTACCTCATTAAAAGACTTGTGTTTTTATTTGAATTCGAATATATATTCTTGCAGTTAATCCAATTGCAAAGGTAAATAAGATATCTCCAACAAAAGCACACGTGGCGTTCCATCCAACTGTAGAGGAGCAAAGCGCAGCATCTAAAGATGGCATCAATGGACAGTTCATCATGCAGTATGACGTTAACAGGGACATCAGCGCGGGGGAAATTCAGGTAATCGCAGAAACTAATCTTAAAAATGTGAACATATTGTAGCTTAAGATTGGCGAAGTCAATTGCTTGTGAACTAGTTTCTATGACTTCTTGTTCGATTTTTGAACATTTTCCTCATCTTCTTGACTAACTTAATTTATTATACAACTATCGTTTGAGAGCTTTCAAACTTACTCGCTCCCCTCCTCCAACTTTGTTTCAACTATTCTTGGCTGACAAAGAGATTAAATAGGAGCGATTAAATACAACCAAACTAGGTTGAATATCCAATCACCATATCATCTCCTGATTATTTTATGTAATTCTTGTATTAATATTATATTGCTAGGTCGTGGATGGTTACTTTGTGCACTACTTTGCCCCTAAGGGACTTGAACCTGTCGACAAAGATATTGTGTTTGTTCTTGATACCAGCGGCTCTATGAGTGGCACGAAGATTAAACAACTGAAGCAAGCCATGAATCTCATCCTTGGGGACCTAAGAGAGGGGGACATGTTCAACATCGTGGAGTTTGATAGCAATACGAAAGTTTGGCGAGAAGATGGTCTCATTATGGCTGACGAGGATAACATTCACGCAGCAAAGGCATACGTCAACAGAATGTCAGCTGATGGAGGTAAGTGGTTTTGTACAACAATTGTGGAGTTTATACACAGATGCGTTGTTACCTTTCCAAAATAGTTGACGCCTAATGTTGTCCACAACACATAGGAAAGCAATTTAATTGTGAGATTATTTTTCAGGAACCAACATAAATGCAGCATTGTTGGATGCCATCAAAGTTCTGGATGCCAAAGATTTCAACTCGCTTAATAACAGACCATCAATGATCATCTTTCTCACGGATGGAGAAGCAACTTCTGGTGTAACACACGTGAACAAAATCATGGAGAACGTTCGTAATAAAAATGAAGACCGATACACCATATTTACTCTGGCCTTTGGACATGGAGCCGACTTTAGTTTCTTGCAAAAGATCTCTCTACAGAACCGAGGCTTCGCCAGGAAGATTTATGAGGACTCCGATGCCGTGTTACAGTTGGAGAATTTCTATAACGAAATCTCTACCCCCACACTATCTCAAGTTGAGATCAAATATTTGGACAATGTTATAGACAATTCTTCATTGACACGGACCATATTTCCAACATATTTTGAGGGCACAGAACTGGTCATATGTGGTCGTCTCTTGAACCCGGCGTCTCCACCAACTAGACTTGTAGCTGAGATAAAAGCTATAAAATCAGAAGGCAATATCATTCTCGAAGCTTCAAAAGACATTGATAATGGACTTACAGTGCCAATCGATGATGATGCGAATAGTCCATCTACTGAAGGATTGGCTAAGTTCACTGAGAAACTATGGGCTTATCAGACAATTAAGGAACTATTGAAGAAAGAAGTGGCAGCTACTGACAAAACAGAAAAGAAAGAATTGAAGAATAAAGCTCTGCAACTTTCTCTTAAGGTAGGGATGTCATTATCAGTATACCTGTAGTTTTCAAAATAAATCTTAACAATGAGTGATAGATTTCTCACTGAATTTCATTGAATTTCATGCCTTTTGAAGTCGGAAATGTGACAATGGTATAGAAATTTATTGATATTTATTCTGCACATAACCCAAGAGCCAAACGTAATAATCCAAGTCATTTTCAGTACTCATTTGTGACTCCGTTGACATCTATGGTAGTAACTAAGCCAAACTCAAAGGAAGAAGGAGCAGGTCTTGAAGATACAGACAAGATTTCCCAAAGTAAGTCTCTAAGAAGCCGCAAGAGAAAAAATAAAGAATCACTGTTCATTTTCTGGTTCTGAAAATTGGCATTCTCTGGCTTTTATCACTTTCCCATATTAATTTCTTACTCTAAATAAATTGGTTGTGATTATTACAGGCGTTCATTTCTCTTCACTTCATGGTGGTATTATCGTATAATGTATGATTCTATGATATTTATAGATTATCGTTCACAAGCCATGGGTATGTCTATGGCTAAATACAGCAGTCAGCATGCTTATAGTTTTCCCGGACTCCCTGGTCCAGTTGGTATGACTGGGTTACGATCATTTGGAGGACTCATGTATGATCCATCATCACAGAGCAGACCGTTTTCACCACCCGTCAGGAAATTACATCATAGCGTGCCGTCCTTTAGTGCATCTGCTTCCCATAGTAAGAGGAGGAAAAGTCAAGGAAGAGGTGGAAGAGGACGCGTAGGTCCACCATTCCCACCATCAATTCCCCCTCGTCCCACATTCTCATATTCGAATTTACCAGCAAGTACCACCACTTCCACAACAACACCACCTACTCAGTCCATGGGAACTGATGAGCCAACATCCTCTGGTGCTATTGAACCAACCATCGCTCCATCAACATACCCGATTCAACAAGGTAATACATCATATACAGTATGCTCAAAGATAATGTGATCGCTTTGCTGTGCAGCAGTCAGTGTAGAAGGATTATGTGGACTCTATAAGCCATAGCATATTTCATATTGCCATCAAGGAAATGCCCCCACATAGTTTTACCTTGCTAACTGAAGTGTAAACCCATACATCGCATTTTTAATGTCTCCACAACGTTTACCCTTAGGCGGCACATGTAAACTGTAATGTAATACCAAACATAGCATTTTATAAATGACTCACCAATTGTGTTTCAGGTGTTGAAAGCAGCTTGATCATCAGTGGAGTGAAATTATGTGTTGATCTTGACAGTCTACACGATAAATATATACAACTTATACGATGCAGAAACAATGGTTAGTATGTATATCAATCCTTGTCGATTGCTATTGGTACAACTAGTCTGTATCCGACAGTCTGACTACAAGTGAACATTTTCATTCCAAATTTCACCAAAATTTCAGACTAACGGGTATAGTCTAATAGTTCAACAAAAAATACAAAAGAACAACCTTTGACAACTTTTTATTAATTTATTTACTTTAATCAGATGAATTGTACTCTTCAGAATTGGAAGAAATAAAGATACAAAAAATCAATCTAGCCAATTATCTCAGCTCATTTGATGTAGCAATCTGTCCAACCAAAAATAGGATTAATTGCTATTTCTGAAAAGAACAACTTATGCAACCATCGATCTAGCCCTATATGTGATTCTTCCATATACAAAAATATCGCAGGGTTTAATGGACGGGTGTACTATAATGTTCAAATTTTATAGTTCAATAATGATGATAAATTACTTGAGTTCACTTCCGTCTGGTATAATAAGATATTGTATGATTTCATGGACAACTTACAATACCTTTATTTCGTAGGAGTCACCATCAATGTTAAAGTTGAAGTCTCAGAGAATGCCACATCTTTCACAAGTCTTGGCATCATGACCCAACGTTCAAAGATCATCATAAAACCCCATAAGATCCGTGTTTACCCACGCGGAAGAAGCATCAAGTGGAGCAAGCCATCGTCCAATAACCTGGAGGAAGGCGTTAAGCTGGTTGTTGGGAAAGATGAAATGATTACTCTCCAAGTTAACCAAATTCTGATGTACATCACAAGACACGGTCACAGTGTAATGATTAAGTTCCAGAATGAAGGAATGCCAGGCAAGAAGAAAGTTCATGGCATTATAGGTAAAATTGACTCTAGTGAAGACAATGCAACTTGGCAACTAAAAGAAGAAAAAAAGTCTTCGATTGAAATCCTTTTTAGTTTGTTTATAAACACGTATTGAATGTCCACTGTCTTTTGGATTGATATGGATCCTGATCAAGAATTATTGAAGAAGTTGTTCCTTTAATGTAAGATCCTGGTTTGGAATATGTCTTTTGGGAGGAGGGAGCATTTTCCTTAATAATTGTAATCTTTAATATTGCCTTTGCTTACCGTGCTTTTGTTATGCTCTTTCTGCTTTAGAATCAGGTACACATTTAGCATAATATAATAGAATAGAATAATATCAGATAAGACAAAGGTTTTGCTTAACATAAGAGTAGAAAACATATTCTGTAAACCCCTACAAACTGGAATGCATCAGAACTTAATTAATGCATCAACTACACACAACAATGATATACAGTTAAGTTAATGATATATAGTTAAGGTAATGGAATACTGACGTTACGTTCTTTCAGGTCAATTTATGCAGAAAGGTAAGACTTGGAAGATCGATGAGCAGGTAGGCTCTCTGAACAGCCAGTTGGAAATACTAGACAGCCCCTCTGCTCCACCACGTATAGTAGATGTCAGTCTTGTACGGCACATCAACGTTGCAACACAAACTGAGGCCGACTGCTGGGAGCCAGATAGCCCTAATGACATTCTAGATGGACAAATTGAAGATTATGTTATCCCTAAATTGACTTATAAGCCATTTTCAGGCAACCATTTAAAACATAAGGGGAAACATAGTAGGAAAAGGCACCACTCTAGAAAGCCATAATTTTATAACAATGCAAACCGGTTTAAGTATCTGGAACCACATGTAGATGGTTCTCAGATTAAATGAAGGCATAATCAAACATTGTAAATAAATTGCTGTACATATAGATAAGAAAATATGTAAATACAAATAAAATCTCAAACGTACAGTATAGAATTATAGATGTCATTAAACATCTTATTTAGGTTTCTATATAAAACCATTACATCCGACTAGTACTATATCTGGTATACTGAAGCAATGGAACAATTTCACAAGGACTAGTTTAACCTGTCTCACATTCCCAAATGCATAAATGTGACAGTGCTACATCATGACTTCTAAATCTTATTATGTAAATAGTAAATACAAAATAAATAAGTTTTACTAGTTTTACCAATACAAGTTCAAAATAGTTGTAACCATTATACGCATACTCCCGTCTAATGATTTGACAATCAGATGTTCGGAAGGATCACGTACTTAACATGGTTATTTTTTACGCTTTTAAACATTCATATTTGTCATAACCGAAATCATCGCTTCTACTTTACCTCCGCATGACCTTGATTATTTTCAACGTAATACGAGTATAGGCCCAGTGTAACATTGTTATCATTGTTGCATTTGACTTCGTAGCATTTCCATTTTATTGGACACCAAAAACAGCTCAAACGGGCCATATCAAAGCTTAAGTTTCTGTTAGCAATGTCAATGAAAGATGGCGAAGTTGTTTGTATCACATGATCCATTCATTTTCAAATTCAAATTCCTTGTGTTGTACCTATTATCGTTACCGCGGGTTATACCATATACTACATTCGGAGTTTGTGTAGGTTTAACTATGGAATTTACCGTCAAGTTCACTGTCTAGGATGTTGTTACAGACAACCACACTCAATCAATATATAAAACATCGAGAAACTAGACCACATCTTTCTGAAAGATGAAAACATCTGTTTGCTCACATTATATCACCCTCATGTTGTACCGTACCCTGCGCGTTCAACTGTCAAATAGCCTCCACTATAAATGCAGCTTGTTGAGCAGTAAAATGGAGTCATTCTCAATTTGAAAACATTAGGAATATGAAAAATTCTTATCAAGAGGAATAATTTTGATTTCCTGTTAGTTGTAGCCAACAGATCACCATCTCTCATTTTGAACTGAGGAGGGTCTTCTGAATTTGAAGGATATTACCTCAAATTTTATCACAAAATAGTTTTTATTAATAAGACTTTTTTTACAAAGCTTTACTGGATTGAAACCTTTTTAAAATGGTGCATTGCTCTAAACGTAAAGGCCCATTTTGCGTATTTTCAACATTCTTTGGCAAAATAAAGTATTATTTTTTAACTTCATAGTATTTCCAATGGATTAATAAGTATTTTATCTTTCATATGACACCAGAAACAGCTAAAACGGCCCAAATCAAAGCTTACAATAATTTATCAAAAAGTATTTCTGATCTGTAAAGTTTTATATATCAAGATTTTACTTAAGTCATTGAAAGATGGCGAAGTTGTTTTTATCACATAATCCATTAGTATATTCATAGATGTGTCGCCATCTTTTCAATCAGATTTTATTCAAAACATGCACTGTTTCACAAATGCGCATGCACTACTTCAAATGCTATTTTCTACATGAGTTATTTTTTCTTGGTTTAATATCAATGTAAATCAAACTTTGTATCATATTTAATTGAGTGTGTGAGTAACATGTTTCAATGATTATTTTCTTTTTTCTCCTGAATTAAGCATATTGGGGCTTTAACTGAAAATTAAATTTTATGTCTCACAAGATCTCTTTATTCAACCAACATTGCTAGATATTGAATTTCTCATATTTATGACGACAATTTATTGTAAAAAGTCACACTCACGATTCAATTCATTCTAACTTTTTACAATATTTAGGAAATTTTTTGAAATGTTCTCCATATGGCCGAAATATGCATACATTGTAAATCTGAATGTTTAGCATGATATTAAAAAAATTTGACTGATAAAGGAGCATGAACCCTTTTTTATAGAGGGTAGATGTAAATGGTGAACTGTTCTACTTCATCATTGACCAGAGCCATGTTTGAATTGCAATAAGGAATCGTGTATTATTCTTCATAGGAAATATAAAAGCATTCGTGTATGTCCTAACCCATTCTGATAATGCACTCAGGCTTCACCTTTTGTGCAGTATGTGTGTTAGTACATTCACTCATGCTTTTATATTTTCAATATAGAATACATGATTCTTTATTCCTAAGTGATAAGCTTAGATCAATAGTCTTGTTGGCATCAGTAACAATTTAATTATCGTTTTATTTTAAATAATGCACAGTAACAAAAGAAGAGTGCATGTACAGGGTGATCATAAAATAAGATCAAACTCTAACTTTTGTTAATATTGATGAATCTAGCTCATTTTCTCACAAAATTTGATCTACTAATTATCCATACACAACATAAATTGTAATATGTTACATTTAATATTGTGCGTTCTATGGTAACCATGGCAACACGTGTTGAGGGTACCCGGAGCAGTCAAAAAAGAAAATGGTGTGATGTTTTCTTTCTTATACTTCGGGAATACACCATATTTGGTTAGCTATGTATGACAGAATGAGACACACCAAAAATCAAAATGTCAAATGAGGCTAGTGTGGCTGATGCAGATTGTGACATTAACAGAAAATTCACTCATATCTCGTTTGAAAATTGACCTCCTGAGTACAGAATAACCAAAACATTTATTTGATTTCTTTATTGTCTCATATTATTGTATTTGTATATTGTATTCATATTATATTATATTATTGTATTGACCTATGTACCACTTTAAATGTTCACAGTTTATCATATTTATTGTAAATTTAATTATGGGCAGTTATACACCCCCTGGGGTGTCATAGCCTGTATAATGTTGTAATTTTTGTAATGAAAACTGAATTAAATTATTTTGAAATTGAATTGAATTGAACAGATACATTAGGAGTACCAGTCGATTTTATGTTCTTTCAAGAAAAAGTAGAGGACGTCATCAGAGACATGCATGGACTCATAGAGTATATGAGCAAGGTGTTACGATTCTAACCATCCAAGGGAATTGATAGAGGTCCAATATTACCTTTATTGTCCATTTTCCTATGAGATGTACATTTGATAGGCGGTATATGCGTGTCTTGCTCGGCGGTAGGTTGTACACTCCCCTCCATAAGTTTGGCAACCTTTTTTCCCCATTGAACTATGTGTTAAAGCCTCTTTACGTTTGAATTTTTATTTACTTAACCGTCGATGAAATAACTTATAATATTGATTGAAACGTAACTTGATTTTATTTCCAATACCTCCAAATTTTCTCAATTTTTTCCTCAATTAAAATAGGTCGAAAATTGATGATAAAGTTGATGAATTTTTGAAAATCGTCATTCCCATGTAATCCAATGGGAAATGGAGGGTTCGGGGCAAATCAGAAATCAGGATATGTTTTCAGTAAAAGTTTCAGCAAAAAATATTTTCATATAGAAAATTGAATTGTCTAACTTTTTTGAACACTAAGTGTTCAGTTTATTTGATGAATATTAAAGTTACAGCGCTTCAAAGTCATTTTTGAAAATAATTTTTCGCCTCTTGTGTTATTTCAATGGGAGAGGTTTTTTGAAAAACAATTTTGACTTTAAAGCCCTATAACTTTGTTGAACCTGAAGAAACATATCAATTTTTTGTTATATAAAGTTAGCAAATTCAATTGCCTGCCTAACTCATATTTTTTGCAAGGACTCGCATGGATGGATATTCTGTCATATGACTTGCGGCAAACCTACCATTTCCCATTGGATAACATGGGAATGACGATTTTCAAAAATTCATCAAATTTATCATCAATTTTCGACCTATTGTAATTGAGGGAAAAAATTGAGAAAATTTGGAGGTATTGGAATTAAAGTCAAATTACGTTTCCATCAATAGTATAAGTATTTCCATCGCAGGGTAAGTAAATAAAAATTCAAAGGTAAAGAGGCTTTAACACGTAGTTCAATGGGGGAAAAAAGGTTGCCAAACTTATGGAGGGGAGTGTATATACACGGGTACACTTTCCCCTCGTGCATTAGGAGAACCATTCGATTTTATGTTCTTTCAAGAAAAAGTAGAGGACGTCATCAGAGACATGCATGGACTCATAGTGTATGAGCAAGGTGTTATATATCTGCTCCAAGAATCTATATAGGCTGTATTGCAAAGGATTGGTATCGATATGGCGAACTGAATTCAACAATGTTTTTCTCTGAAACCAATTATTGAAAACATTCTGTAAAAAACACGGTTCTTTATGTAATTTTGACTGATTGACAACAATTTAATGCAAAAAATTTTATATATATTTTGTATAACTTTTTTTGCTAACATTTTTTTTGTTTTTTTGTGCAATTGTTTTTTTTAACATTTTTTGTTTTTTGTGCCATTGTTTTTTCCTTTTTGCCAATTCTTGAGAATGAAATCAAATATTTCTCCGAAGCTTGTTGGAACAAAATAGCATTACAACATTTTTTCCTCTCAATATTATGGTTATACAAAGAAAATTTTGGTTGATTTAAAGTCCCCATGTAAAGTTTGAAAATATTTTTTTGTCATTCATTTACTATTTGTCATGATTTCAAAAGTTATTTTGGAGTTTTGAAAAAAAGATTTTGAAAATAAGTTGTGAGCTTTTCATTTCTAAAATATTCAAAGTCCTGCCATTTTTCAAAAAATGTGAAATCTTTAATCATCAAATATTTCTTCATACATTTCAAAAAAGATTATATTTTAACACCAATGCTAAGATTGATCAAAGGACACACTATTTCAATAATAAAATGCCTTAGTTAATGTGTCACATCAATGTTTTGGCATATCAAAATTATTTTGGAACCTAATAGTGATGTCATTATGATTCACTCAGGTGGCAAAAACGTTTTAAAAAAGCTTTCCTTTGTACAATTAATATCGAGAGATCTAAACACATTGTGTTTATGTCATTTTGTTCCAATGAGGTTCGGATAGATGTTTCATTTCATTCCGAACATACAATACCAAGAACAAAAGAAGTGACTGTCTAAAACAATATAGAGAAGAGTATATATATTTATTTAAAATGATTGTTACCACTGAAAATATGATTAAATTGACGAAGTGTGAAATTTTCAGACTTTATATGACTGGTTTAAGAGAAACTTGTGGCCAAAAAGTTCACCATATCGATACCCATCCTTTAAGACAGGGTCACTATTGAAGATCATCCACAATTTGGTTGCAAGAGCTTGCGGACAGAAAAGAACACTCCGGGCCCTCGGGAAATATCATATTATAATGTCCCTCGGAATAAAACCAATATTGAATCCCTCCCGGTAAATAACCTCTATATATCGATGATTCTGTCGTCTTCTGAAATATTTGTTCGCAAACGTTTAGATTTGATTAAAACAAGTTATACCGTTACACGTTTGTGATAAAAATATCGAACCGTTACCGAAACCGTTTCGGTAGTTAGTTTGAAGTGTGCAATACCAGCGGTTTTCCTAGCCAGTTTGAAGCGTTCCACCACAGTGAATTATGCGACGTGCAAAGAAAATGTATTCGGTAAAATAGCTTCCAGGCTTCGCTCAACCGCAACTAAATCACGCTGTTATACCATGGCGGCTACGTTAAGGCGAATTGCACACATTTGCGGTAACGATAGCAAAAAATTGCAGTGGGAAAGACAGCATGTCCTCTTTCTCGCCTGTAGGCAAAATTCAGTTAATTCACAGGTAAGATTTCCTTTTAAACTAGTTCCATTCGGTGACGTATATATGGACACTCTTAAAAATGAATTACTTGAGTATTTCCCAAGTATTTCCCAAGTATAAAAATTACTTAAAGTTAAATACTTAGTTTTACTTCATTTTACTTAGGTTTAACTTATATTGTCATTTTGAGTTTTTTAATTGCTTAATTATGTAAATGAGTATTACAATTACTACAGTAATTATTTCAATTTCTCTCCTTGCATTAGTAAATTCACCATAAATGAATTACTTAAAAATTACTTAAAAATTATTCAGTAGTTCAAGATTATTTAAGTAATTTTTGACTTAAAATGAGTAGTACAATTTCTCAATATAAGGAAATCCAAGTAATAATTTTTAAGAGTGGATGGTTATAAAGACTGAGTTGAATCTGCCATGTAGTCTACAAGCAGAATATAAGCTGTAAACCTACCGGCTGAGATATCCAGTTTCACAATTTTTAGTCCATTCTCGTGTTTTCTCAGTATATGTGTCTCAGAGCCACTCAAAATACTGACTGTGAGTAAACTGTGTATAAACAAGGCCTCTATAGGGCAAGAAAAAAATTGGCTTGCTTTATTGATGAAACCAACAAAAGTGAAAAAGATAGCGATAGAGAGGAAAAAGAGTTAGAATCAAGTACTGATGAAGATATCAAAATTAATAATAACAATGAATTGGGGTTTAATATTTGAACGAGGTTCGCGTAACCGTCCATCAACTCGACAATTTTTCGCTTATTTCATGTTATCCCCGGGCATCAATTTGCAGAGTACGTTCAAAATATACATTACTGAATGCATCACCGAATGCGACGCTTACATAAATCGTTCATACTTTCATCGATACACAGTAGTAGAAAACAATGCACCAACCTAAGCTTTCTGTTCCATCGTGGCCATTTTATTGGATAAATCAGTGAACGTAGCAGTCCAACATCGTTTTCAGAGGTGGCGTAACCGTCATGGTATACCAGCGTGTAAATGAATAAATTCCGTTGGTCGAAAGCCAAGTACATTTGTGACACTACCTGGATCAGCTTGTTGTAAATCAACAAACAATATAAATATTCGCTTTGGGATAATACATACAAGGAAAAAGTACGTTGAGGTCTAGCAAAGTGACAGAAGCATATAAACATGGCAAATACAAAACTGGCAAAATACATTTCAGTTGGAAGTATCATTCTAGTTCTATACCTTTTATACTTTTCACATACATTTTTCACTAATAAAACAAAAGCTGGAGGGAGTCAGGTGCGATCGAAGCTATCTAAAGAAAGGGAAGAGACACGAGTGATTGAGAGAGAGTGGCACATCAATGCAGACGAACGTTACACCTACCGATCTCAGGTAATGACCCTGACAATTGCTAACAATAAATCCCATTATAAAAGTCAACAGGTGGAATCATCACTTTTGCACGAATTTTCTCCTGATATCGAAGATCGAGTACGAAATCTGTTCATCAATGACAATGGAAATAACGATCAACTTGAATTCCATGTGATAAGCCCTGCCATTTTGCCATACAAGGGCAATATTATGGTTGTGGCGAGAGTCTGGTTGAACTACGAGCGTCGCCATTCAATCGATAATCTGAATGAAAAAAACCGATGGCTTGACAATTATCTTTTCTCACAATTGTTTGACGGCAATATGCGACCCATATCTTCTGGTAATTTAGTCGGTATCCCTGCGCCTACGCAATATGTAGCGAACGCTGGATGCTCTGATGCGAGAATTTTCAGCTGGAAGGGATCTCTCATGATCCTATTTTACATGACTATGATGGACAATGAAGGAGTAAACATCGGACATCTATTCATACTGGATTATGATCGTAACATCCTGAGGAAGCCAAAATTTGTGGATTACAAAATTGCCAAAATTGATTCAAACTGGTCACCTCTAGTAGTAGACGATTTTCTTCATTTCGTTTACACGATGGATCCATTGAGAATTTTAAAATGTTTGAAAGATGAACACATGGATATTATTTGCCATTTCGTTACGTCTTTGGACACAACGCTACAGAAATATCCATTCGATATCCGTGAAGATATCCTACGTGGAGGCTCGCCTTTTCTGCCGTATAAGAAATCTTATTTTATCAGTGTGGCCCATTCAACGTTGTCATACGTAGCTGGTGACCAAAGCCAGCAAAGCCCCATATATGGTACAAACATTATACTCCTCAAAGTTTACCCATTCAGGATCATTTATGTAAGCGGACCTCTCAAAATCCATCCTCGTATATATGACAACATTCCACTTGTTCGCAAGCATTTCCTTCCCGCTGCATTCTTCTACCCCACTGGTCTCATCGTAGAGAATGGCGACACTATAGACATAGGGATCCATATAAATGATTATAGAGCATTTATAATTCGCGTTACTGGAATTGAAAAAGTCTTAGATGAAGCCATAGTATTAGATAGCATGAGCAATGATTCAATGGAAACAGATCGTCCCAGATATATACAGAATTTTGTAAAACTTGCACTCAAGAAATCGTATTTGAATCAAACTTTGACAATTGAAGAATTGCAAAACATTTCTTAAGAAACCTGTCCGTGGTATGACATACACATTGTCCTCTAATATTAGACAACATTTTTCATTCTAAGTTGTTTCAGACATTGAAGCTAGAGTGACATCACAAAGGATGCCATCATAAATATATGGGCCTATAAAAGCAGGATATTTGATTGCACACTGTATGATATGACTAGTTTATGTTCAAGTAATTTAAAGATCATGTGCAACAGATCGTCTGTCATTTTTCATATTACTATAACATTCTTCCTAAGTAGTTATGTAAAATGTAAGATATATAAATGTAAATTGAAACAAAGTAAAATAAAGACAAGAAATATGACCAAACTGACGCCTTATACTTTTCTACTCAAAATCTCTCCAGAGTGTCCAAAATGTGCAGCTGCCAGTTCATAATTACAATCGTTTCCGAAAGGTGCATAACTGTATCGATATCCTCCACGGTATTTGAATGAGAAAGGTATACAGACACAAGAGTTATGCCTCATCCATTGCTATACGCAACTACTGATAATGGGTACCACAATCAGCTAGCATTGCTATTATTGGCTAGTCTAGCTACAAGCTCTTGTGACGCCCCTCACCCCCTCCCCTCTATACTTGACTACACACTTTCTCAAACGGTCTTGATAATCACTTCAAATTTTGAATCGCCCGAGTTTTTAACTTACTACATAACAAAAATTAAAAACACAAGAAGCGATCAAGAAATAAGCTCGAATCTTTTGGATTGCTTATTATGAATTTATAACCAGTTTAATGTCAGACAATAACGACATCCTGACATTTCCATTGTTGGAAAATATCGAGATTCTGGGATCCAATCTCCTTGTCTCAAAACCCCACTTCTCTAAATCCCTTGCCCTCCATTCTGATATTCAGACCACATCTGCCTTGCAAAGTAAAAGGAAACTTATAGAAGGCTGTAATCTCTCACCATGCACCCCCTCGCCAAAGTGCAGGTGCTTTTGAAAAAAAAAAATAGCACCTCGGTTAGCAAGCTTATGCATAACGATATTGAAATACATTTTCATTGCTAATCAAAATAATGAGCGTAGAAATTTTCAATACATACTTTTAATCAGTTTAGGTGGCAATTTTAAATGTAAAATTTTACATATATTCACATGCGTCTTCATGGCACTAGCAGACTAGGGAAACTTACTTCGAAGCTCTTATTTGCATGATTCCATAAAAATAGTGTATACACACGTCGCACAGTTTAGCTGTACGTTGTCCCATATTAACGACTTGAAGCAAAAACTGGGATGTTGGTTGAATTAGTGTTTTCCAAGATATAGCGATTTTCCATTCGTGTTTTTCGTATTTTTCTAATATTAATGTCTTTTGAGCAGGTGTCAAAGGCATCATGTTTAACAACTAACTAACAAGAGGAGCTATACACAGTCTCCTCTTTCTTTCCTGGAAATATGAACACAATTGGATTAGTATCTTCCAAGATATAGCGATTTCCTTGGGTTGCGTTTTTAACACTCTGTACAGGGTGTCCCGAAAGTATGGGCCCCTCCCCCTAGGCAGACATATTCCAGTGTCCTCATAGTATGTGTCATATATCATTTTAAAGCTTATCCAAAGTTACATTGATTCGCCAAGTATCATGGTTCAACTCTCAAATGTGAAAAAATTACAGGCATTTCAAAATTTAGTGTTTGGTCAAAATTCAGTTCAATTTCACACCAAATCAATAATCAATGTGTCCTCCTGGGCCATCTTAACAGCAGCAATTCTTTTCGGGTCGGATGGATATTGAGTTGGAAAAAGAGAACGGTGAGGGTAGAAGCTCTAAGGAAACTCTTCTAAAGTCCCTTAACAGGTTGTAAGAGGGTTATAAAATTCCACATCCCTATTTGAAGGGCTTTTAAGGTCATATCTATAAATAATTGCCGCTGTTAACATGGCCAATGGGGGACACAATGACTAGTACACACTACTATACCCCCATACTGTATCCTGTATTCCTTTAAAAGAAGTACAGGCTACAGGGAAGTTGCAAATGAAGGACGTTTGTTTATTTCCAAAGTTCTGAATGTATACTAGATTTTAGACATATTCTAAGTGTTCTACTATACATTGTATAGATTCATCGAGCAGTTTGCAACGTATTATTACCAGAAAAGCCCAATGGACAAAGATAGAGAATACCCGCTCCATTTGCAACTTAACCGTACCCTGTATCATTTTTAAATGTGGTCACGTGGTAGGGTAGTGTGTAGTAATGTGGTGTAAAATTGAACTTTATTTTGACAAAACACTAACTTTTAAAATGACTGTAACTTTTTCCCATTTGGGAGTTAAACCATGATACTTGGCAAATCAATGTAACTTTGGATATGCTTTAAAATGATATATGACACAAACTATGAGGACACTGATATAATATATGTCTGCCTAGGGGGGGGCATACTTTCGGGACCCTGTACATTAGTGCACTCGTTGTGCAAAAGTGAGAGATGTAGACACTGTGGGGAAGGAGTGGTTCAAATTTGAAAACAGACTCTATTCAGGGTTGCAGCAAAATTCCGAACATGCACCCTGACCTTAAGTCATTTACAGTTTTGTTTTTTGGAAAAGTTGCAGAATAGACTTATGTATTTCCAGCAAAATATTTTTGAAATCCAAGACCTATTAAAAACAATACGGACGTTTTTCAGCCCACCCTGTTCATTCCAACTAATGTGATTCACATGTGGACGCGTCTCACTGGGCTCAGCCATCTCCATAATCACCTATCAGACTTCACTACAGGTACTGTTCATTCATGTGAATAAATGGGACCTAAAAATAGTTTTGTATATCAACTATCCAGCTCAGTGAACACTGTTTGGATGTGGTTTGAGCTTTTTTATTTATTAGTTATTATTTAAACGGGACATCATGTGGTTATGAATAGGAAGGTACTTTCAAGGAAAGCCAGATATACAAAGTTAAAGTCCAAAGGTCGAGCGTAACAAAAGCATAGAAATATGGCGAGAAAGGGACTGGGAACATATATTCCAGTTGGAATTATCATACTGAGTCTATACCTTGTGTATTTCTGGTATTCAAATTTGGTATTTGTAGATACAAATGCGGGAGTCGAGCGCCATCAGAACGATTTTCTAGGAGTGATCAAGGAAGATACTCGCACCAAAGGAGATGGACCTTATATCACAGCAAACAGACGTCTCACCTATACCACTAATGTACTGACATTGACTCTTGCTAACAATAAATCCCATTATGAACGTCAGCAGATCGAATCATCACTTTTGCACGAATTTTCTCCTGACATCGAAGATCGTGTACGGAATTTGTTTATCAATGACACTGGAGATAACGATCAGCTTGAGTTTCATGTGATAAGCCCTGCCATTTTGCCATACAAGGGCAATATTATGGTTGTGGCGAGAGTCTGGTTGAATTACGAGCGTCGTTATCACATACGGGATAAGGAGATGAACCGATGGATTGACAATTATCTTTACACACAGATGTTTGACGGCAATATGCGACCCTTATCATCAGGTAATATATTAGGCATCCCCGTGCCTGTTCAATATAGTTTGAATACTGGCTGCTCTGATGCAAGAATTTTCAACTGGATGGGGTCTCTCATGATCTTATTTTACATGGCTATGAAAGACAATGAAGGGACAGATATTGGACATCTATTCATACTGGATTACGATCGTAACATCCTGAGGAAACCGAAAATTGTGGATCACAAAATTGCCAACATTGATTCAAATTGGTCACCTCTAGTAATAGATGATTCTCTTCATTTCGTTTACACGTTGGATCCATTGAGAATTCTAAAATGTTTGAAAGATGTACACATGGATATAATTTGCCATTTCGTTACGTCTTTGGACACAACGCTACAGAAATATCCATTCGATGTCCACAGAGACATTCTTCGCGGAGGCTCGCCTTTCATGCCGTATAAGGAATCTTATTTCATCAGCGTTGCTCATTCGACCTTGACATACTTTACTCCGGAACAAGACATGCCACATCCTGTTTATGGGGCGCACATAGTCCTTCTCAAAGTATACCCATTCAGAATCATTCACGTGAGCGAACCGTTCAAAATCCACCCTCGTATATATGACAACATTCCACTTGTTCGCAAACACTTCATTCTCGCCCCATTCTTCTACCCCACTGGTCTCATCGTAGAGAATAGCGACACTATTGATATAGGGGTCCATATTAATGATTATAGAGCATTTATAGTTCGCGTTACTGGAATTGAAAACATCTTGAATAAAGCCATGAAATCAGATAGCAGGAACGATGACTCCATGGTGACATCTCGACCTAGATTTATACAAGATTTTGTAAAACTTTCACTCAGGAAATCGCATTTTAATCAAACTTGGACAATTGAAGAGCAAAATGGAAAGCAAATTATTTCTTGATAAACATGTCGGTAACGTCATAACATTCATATCGTTCTCTGCCATATGAACATATAATTTGTTGTCGTAAGATATGTGAGATGTTGTAAGATGTGGTCTCGTTGTTATGTTTGGTTTGACATAACGGGCCTTACGGCATCTCTCAATCAAATATATTTTTATAAGAAATCTACACTTTTCAGATAATACAACATTTATCACGTATCCTTTAACTTTGTTCCATGGATCCAATTTGATTTTAAGTCCACATATAATAAAGAATAATATGAAAATTGAATATTTTTATTGATATATCATGCTATTACTGATGCTTTTTGTACTTTTATTTACAGTTATGATTGGCAGGATGTTGAATATATTAGTGCTGAATTTGGGACATAAAGTCCCCTAGATCTGATTCTGAATCTTGAAACATTTGATTCTTTAAATCAAAATATTTATATTGTCAATAACTTATCGTGATCGAACTACATGTAACATCTGTTGAGATATATTTTCATCACTCATTTGTAAATATGATTTTGTGATATTTATAAAATATACATGTTTCGTGATCAGATCACTTAAGTTAATTTCAGTTTTAAGTCTCTCATAAGCCGATGCCGGCTGGGCTGAAATTTTACTTAATTATTGTTTTAAATGGACAAAGTGCGTAAATGAAGTCTCACTTTTGATCTTCATAGTATTTCCAATGAATTAATAAGTACCTGATCTTTCATTTGACACCAAAAACAGCTCAAACAGACCACATCACTAGATCATGAAAAAATATTTTTGATCTACCAATTTATATATGTCAACTTTTTAGCAATGCCATAGAAGGATGACATTGTTGTTTGCATTAGGATTTTCAACCATGCGCCATCTTTTAATCCAAGAGTTATTTAAAAACATACACTTTGTGAAAAGTGGTAATTCACTTCTTTTGATCTCTGAACTTCAAATGCTGTTTTCTATGCGAGTAATTTTTTTTTCACTTCAGTATTGACCCAAGTTAAAGTTTTTAGCATATTTGATTGACTGTGTGAATGCCATGTCTCATATGATATTTTGTCCTTTTCCTTCAAAAATAGGCGCATTGCCTGTTTAACAAGATTGTACATAGAATACTCCGAGTGAGACTATAACAAATATATACATACATACTTATTAAAGTGTTTATGAAAAACACTTTCACCTATAATTATGATCTATAATTGATCAATGAGGATTTCATCCCAGGCTTTCCCAGGCTTTGCCATATATGGATATGTCGTGTTTACAAAATTCAAAAATCAAACAAGGAGGATTGGCAGCCATTATACAAACTCGATACTCCGTTGCCTGCTGTGGTACAATTTAGTACAATATTTCTATATGGTTCTCTTTGGACCAAGTGTTTCGTTGAAAGATGGTCATAGCGAATATTTTGGTAGTATTCAAGCTTCTGCAACAGTTCTTGTCTTTAAAATATGAGTAATATTCTGTGCAGGTCACCATTTTTACTGAAATGATCAATTATAGTCTGTAGTATTGTATTCAAATTTAGTTCCACAGAATGATCATAAGGAAAGGGTGTTACCCTTCGGAGATGGAGATAATGTTTCACAGCTAGTTCGGCGCGCGATTCTATATTCAGAAATTATGAAGTTATATTCTGTAGTAATGTAAACAAACCATCACGGATAAGGTCACTTGCATAGGGTGTGTATGTGTAGAAACCTCAAACCGAGGAAACACTATTTCCTGGAATCACGACTAGATTTATCTGAAAACTTCCAAAATGGCCGCCAAAATGCAACAGGGCCGGCAAAAATTCAATCAGCTCTAGAACGTCTTATCTTGTAACATGTGTAACGATTTGAAGTAATTCCGCTAAGTCCCGGGTTGTCCTGAAATCGCGGTGGGAAAATTTATCTAAAAACTTCAAAATGGCCGCCAGGATGCAAGGTGGTCGCCGAAAAGTTTATCAGCTCTAGAACTTTTTACCATGTAACATGTGTAAAATTTGAAGTACATCCGTTGAGTGGTTTTCCTTAAATTGCGATGACAAGATTTATCTAAAAACTTCCAAAATGGCTGCCAGAGTACAAGATGGCCGCCGAAAAATAAAGCAGCTCTAGAACTTCTTATGTAACATGTGTGAAAATTGAAGTAGATCCGTTCATTGCGTTTCCTGGAATCGCGGTGACAAGAAAAGTGAGATACCGCCCGCAGCCCGCCAAGCTGACGACAATATCGTGCCTTTTTTAGGTACGATCAAAGATTCCCGGGGTGACCCCCATACTCCCCCTCCCCCTTTTGGGCTCGCTTCCCTCTCCCCCTTGACAATTCCTGACTATGCCATTGTTTCCCATATAAACAATGCCATAATGTCTATACCAAGAAAGAACAATGTTTTGGAGGATGTACTTTTTTATATTCGTAAGCTATTCAGGAATAATGGATATAAATAATAAACGTGAGAAATGTTTCATTTATATTTACTCCCAATCATTAGATTCTAGATGACATCACGTAATGATGAAGCATCACGTCAAATATATAACACACGTGCTCATAGTACAAAAACATAGTCACATCTACATTTTAATGACATTGTGAAATCAACAGCTTCAACTGTCTAAACGACAGCAATAGTGAGACAAAGCAAATAGCATAGGGTCTCGGGTGAATGTTTCATTCAAATGATTTTATAAAATTCTTAAGCGATTTCGGAAGAGGCAATGCGTCAACTACTGCGTTGTTATCGTGCCCTGCAAGTCTTGACGAGATAGTTAACCGGCTCATTGCTTTTAGTGATCGTGGGTTAGAAGTCAATCCCGCAAGAAGTTCTTCAACGTCATATGAGCAATACCCAGTAGCAGCGTGGTTGAGAAGGATATTTAGCATTGCATAATAGTCATCATGTTGGAGAGAATTTAGGATACAATTAAACAACCCAAAGCAAAAATGATGGCTGTCTTGATTCCCGCTACAAAATGGCTGGAAGGTTTTGGCGCCATTGTGGAGAAAAATACGTGTTATGTCCATCAAGTGTTCATTGAGGATTTCGCCGTTGTCTTGGGGACATCGTCTATTGAACTGTAAGGTAAAACCAATCTGGGTCAATAATGACATAGAGGGATCACTGGAGAATTCAGCGGTGGCGCCATTTGTGAAAAGAACATTCAGGAGTCGTTTTGTGAATTCTAATGTTTCTACGAAAGCATTCATTGCATCATCTATCTTGGTGGCATCATCGCTCCAGTTGAGCATACGGATGAAGTTTCCAACACCACTTCGTATTTGATTGACAACTAAAGCAACGGGAGTTCTATTTGAATCCAAATTGAAGTCTTGTCCATGTTTGGCAAGAATGTGAAAACACTGAGCAACAATAGCGTTCGCCTCCTTCAGAGAATACGGCATATCAGCATTGGGCCTCATAGATCTAACCCCTACCTTAATGTGGTAGCAGAGAGAGGAGACGGCAGACTGGCCCTGATTGTCCAATACATTCACCTTGGCACCGTTATTCAAGAGAAACTGCAAAGTCTCCACCGTTTCACTTGGCAGACAGAATGGATACTGATAATTCTCTGTGGAGAATAAATAATGAAGACACGTACGGTTATTCTTATCAACGTGATTCAAATCTGATCCATTGTCCAGTAACAATTTTATGAACTTGATGCCCCTTGGAATCGCATGCATCAATGGTGTCTTCCCGTTGGTATCTTTACCATGAACACTGTCGGGGTTCAACTGCAAGAGTCTCTTCAGGCATTTGTATGCTCCTTCTTGGCAAGCCACAATGGTAGGAGAGCGCATGTATTCATCTTTGCTATTATGGTACACCTCGAGCAAAGGCTCTATGAACTGATAGTCATCATGTCGCATTGCAAAGTCAAATGCAGGTTTAGGACTCTCATAGTTGAGCACTGCCCCCGTATGTTGTACATCAGCGCCATGTTGGAGTAGAATCTTCACAACCTGTGGCTTCTTGAGATAACACGCAATAGCTAGAGGTGTATTATACGAATGACCATGAAATGAATCCAAATCAATACCACCAGTATCAAGGAGTTTCTCAACAAATGTATCATAATTGTTCTGAATTGCCTGATTGAGGAGTAGGATCTTCAAGTGATTGAGCTGATCGTAAGGCCCAATTTCTGATTTGACTCCTTTATATTCCTCGGCAAATGATTTGAGGATGCTATCTGTAGATTCCTTCCGTTCAATGGCCTCCCTCAGACTGTCATTTAATTGTAGCATCACTGAAACATAGCAATTGTTGATATTACGTTAGAAGTGTTTAGACCCAAAAATAAAGACTCTATAAAGTTGCATTCTAATAAAGGAATGCAATCTTGGAGCTTGCATTTCTCTAGGCATTCACAAACTAATGAATTCAAAAGTCTATTGTTTTTAACTATGACGTCATGATTTCAAGTTATATAATGCATGGATAACATACTCCAGAACAAACTATTACCTAAATCTATAATTGTGGTACAATATATAGGCTAGTATTTACCAAATATCTGGATATTATTCACTCAGAATGCAAATTGCAAACAAAATATATAAAAATACGACTTTATGTTCTTTTTATCCATCAAGAAAGAAGAAAATGAAGACTACATTTGAATGGCTATATTCTACTTTAGACTTTAAGAAATGGATTGGAATCTCCAATTGGTCTAATTTTTGGGATCACCCTGTTTATCACAAATATCAGAAAGAGCAATGATTACTATAAGTGGAGACTGTTAATTATTAACATTCCAAATATATCAAATAAACAATACTGTATTTATGAGATATATGGTTGTGAGTCATATTCATCGTGTTGATCATAGTAGGTTAACAAAATAACTTGGCCAATATAAACAACGCCACATGTGTATTAGACTATATCCTATTTAGTCTGAATTATATTCAGACTATAAGGCACCTATGTTAAAGTTTGGTAATTTTTAATATTTGTTTACATAGGAAGTGCTATTCAAAATGGCCGATTGGGTAAAATTAATTTGCATATTTTTACTTCAACTAGCCTTATTTCCACTTGACAATATGCTGTGTTACTTTTTATGACATTTAATTGTACCTTACTACTTAATTGAAATTTTGTAATGCTTATTTTATTGAAGAAATGATTCCTCAAATTGATAATTTTGTGCAAAAAATTTCACTGCAATTTCCACAGGAAAGTAGTACATCATAACAGACTGACTTCTAGTCAGTCTGTTGGATACATACTAACATGTGTATGCTAACGATTTACAGCTATATATTTTATATTAAATATTATTAATTGTATATAGAATTTAAGCAGCAGTTCATAATTTGGAACTAAATGTACGACTCTTGTAAAATAATTATATATCATTATATTATTAAATTATGATTTTTTATAATAAACAGTTCATAACATTAACCATGGCATGTTGACACACGTAAAGAAAAAAAATACTACAGTAAAACGTATTAATGCGAACGCCACTGAGACCAGCTAAAAGTATTTGAATTGGCAGATGTTCGCATTTTTAACATGAAAGACTTTGTGAGTTACAAGTTTTACTGCACATACATGAGGCTTATGTTTATCATAAACTGGATTGCTCCATTGCATATTATATTACAATAACAACGAGAACTTTTGTGAGATATATAACATTAATGAATGAGATGTCATGGAACGTTTACTATTAATTTTCACATATTTCACCTCACGATAGCCACTATCGAAAAATAGAAATAAATACTCTAAATAATCTAAACAGCAAACCATTGACCAGGTTCCATAAATATATAAACCCCATCAGAAATTGTGATGATGAAAACTCACCTGGGAATAAATTACTGCAATAAATCGTAGGCATTTTGATTCCTAACCTGCTAACTACCTTAATGGTAACATCCACACTATAATATGGACTGCCAACTTCCACACTGTGTAATATTCAGTTCTATAAAGTTTCCCTGATATACAAAGACCTGCTATTACTGTTCTATCTCTTTCACCTGATGTAGCTCCGAAGTTAATATGTTATGTTGCTATATTTGCAGATTTGAGTCTATGCCAGGTCGACCTGATAGATATGTGAACTTCACGGCTCTAAGGTTGTGTTTGTGTTTTTGTAACATTCACTTCAGTTGTAGCTAGTTCTAATATCTATATAAGAGTAAACAAAGTAAAGACCTTGAGTTTTGAACCAAGTATTTACTATTTACTCTATTTGTGTTCTATGTTTTGTTTTTTCTTTATGTGGTTGACATGAGTTCCTATTGGACAGTTTATTAATCAAGGACAGGTGTTTGTTGAGATGTGGAAATAGAACGGTATTTTAAGGTAGACCCACATGGTGAGAGTTTTCATGTAATTTTCATGTAATTTTCATGATTACAATTATCAATATGAAATAAAATAGGTGATACTTTTCAAAGGTGTATTTTAATTTTCACATTTTACTAAATACTAATAGTACATATTTCAAAATAAAAATGTTTTCTTACAATTTTATGATACAAATATTCTGCAATAAAGTTTGACAAAGAATGACATTGAACATGTTAAATGCCTCCAGTTTCCCAAAAATATCTAAACGTGCAGAACTACCTTAACCAGGACTAAATTTAAAAAAATCAACTAATTAACATCCTGTGTGTAAATATTGTGAGGGTCTTAACAATATTAGAACGTCAACTCCAAAATGGGAAATACCATCAAAACCAAACAAAAATTGTTGTCTGAATATAGCAAAGGAGAAAAAAACGGTCTATGGACAATTTTCTCATCACTAGTCTAGCTACAGACTAGTGAGGGGGGTCACAGAGGCCTGTAGCTAGACTAATCTTAAAGTCCACATCTAAAGTTTTTGATAAAAAAGTTGTGAGCATTTCATTTCTCAAATATTCAAATTTCCCGCCATTTTTCAAAAAAAGTTGAAATTTCTTAATCATCAAATATTTCTTAATGCATTTCAAAAAAGATCATCTTTTTAACACCAATGCAATTATTGAACAAAGGACACACTATTTCAATAATAAAATGCCAAAAACTTTTTGAAAGAAATTGAAATTTTTTTTTAGATGTCAATCTTTTCTAAATATGCTAGACTTTCATAAAAAACAATGTTGATTGTCTAACCAGGTTAAAAGAAAGAATAAATTATGTTTTAGATATCATTGTACCATCGGTTTCTATGATAACTAAAATTTTGAAATGCATTTTTCTCAGAACCATTTTCATGCACTGATAAGTTCATTTCTCGCTTATTTATGAACCGATTTTCTTAATTTTTTCGGCAAAAAACATGGGAGGATGAATGCTATGCATTGGTATGAATTGTGGCTAATTAGAAGATATGAGTGACCTCTAAAAGTTGGTTTTAAATAAATTCACAAATTTTGGAACAAAAAGTCTATCAAAAATCACTTTTCGAAATTAAAAAAAAAAGTTTCACATATTACACTTTGATATAACATTGGGTAAGACTACAATATAAGCCAAAGTGGTTTAAACTTTATATGGGGCCTTTAACTGTTTTACAATAATCGTGATTTAAGAGAGCAATTTGATAGAAGGCAGAGGTGTCAAAATGTGCTTTCAAAGTTGGTAAACAATATTCTGAAGGACAATAGCAAAAGTTGTAAATAAAGTCATACAATTGTTAACATGTCAAAATAAACATGATAACACGTCACATTTCTGAGTACATATGATATAGCTACTTTTTTAATTATTATTCAACTGGGGGACAAATCTTGATTAGGTCTGAATTAAACAAAGTATGTGTAAAGTCCGATCCATTTCGATGTTTCGATTTTCGTCATTAAAACCTAAAAATAAGGAATCAAAAGACAACAGAGCTATTATATATAGAAAATATATTCATATTATACACGAATGACATTTGTATAGTATTCTAGTATCTCGGATCGCTTATAGATTGGTTACTAATCAAATGTGTTGCCTCTTATATATTTATTTATATTTTGATACTTTGCTACCATGTTATTTTTGAAAAAGGATTGCACCCCGGGGATTGCACACAACTGAAATGAACAAATTTTATTTGTGTAAAAGATGAATATATTTTTCCATATATTAGGGCTTGGTCATATATATGTGGTATTTTGATTCCTTATTTTTAAGTTTTTTTATGATAATCATTTAATGATGATCATTGAAATGGACTATACACGGAAGGTATATGGTATATGAATGTGTACAATAAGCTTGACTTTGTTGTCCTTGTTTAACAATGGTATTAAACCAGGAAGTAACAAAGACATATTTATACAAATCTTAAAGGCTAATGTTTGACTATCTTATCCCTACTAATAAATAAGTTAATAACATATCTTGAAGGCTACTAATGTTTGACTCTCTAAACCCCTTATTAATAACATGATATCAAACTAGGAAGTAACAAGGACATATTAATACAAATCTTAAAGGCTAATGTTTGACTATCTTATCCCTAATAAATAAGTTAAAAACATATCTTTGAGGGTAATGTTTGACTCTCTAAACCCCTTATTAATAACATGATATCAAACCAGGAAGTAACAAAGACATACTAATAACATATCAGTCTTAAAGGCTAATGTTTGACTATCTTATCCCTAATAAATAAGTTAAAAACATATCTTTGAGGCTAATGTTTGACTATCTTATCCCTAATAAATAAGTTAAAAACATATCTTTGAGGGTAATGTTTGACTCTCTAAACCCCTTATTAATAACATGATATCAAACCAGGAAGTAACAAGGACATACTAATAACATATCAGTCTTAAAGGCTAATGTCCAGTCCATGGGTTATCACATATCACTATTTCTAGTCAATGCCATCATTTTGCAAGTACATGTACATCTACCCTTTGTATTCGTTCAACTTTGCTTCTTAGAGAGCTTCGAGAGCTTCGTATTCAGTTTATAACTAGATTGCGCACAGGGTAATGTACATACGTAGCTAGCAGCAATTGCATCTGATGTGGTTCAACAGAAAATAGTAGAATATGCTCAAATTTGGATTTAAGATAACGACATAATAAATCAAAAAGCAATACAATTAAATAACTTACCTCTGTATGGATATTCATGTATTATATCATATTGCTTCTCCAAGTTTTATAATATACGCAGTACACCAAAGATGTGAATGGTCAAAGTCTAAGTAAGTTTATGTGTTAACAGTTTAAAGGACACAGCCTAAGTTGTTAAATTGGAGGGCATATTTCACAAATCAAAATCCCAGTGCTTGGTTGTGCTCATAATATCAGGTTATCAGGGGGGGGGGAGGAGTGGGGGAGCGGTCCCTGGCCAGAAATTCTTTTAAAATCATGCACTTTTTCACCATTCTGAGCACTTTTCAAATGTTTTTATAGCCAAAATTGTCAAAAGCTACCTCCTTGGCAACAGCTCCCTCTTAGTAAAGCTGTTTAGGGCCTGTGGTTTATCTATGTCTTACTGTATATCGTAAATTTTGAAGAAATATCCACATGCTGGGTCATTAAAAAGCGAATTCAGAATTGCTTTCATTTAACATTTAGTACTCATTGATAAAAAAAAGACAATGTATAATAACTAATAAAACAAAGTGTATGATTAATTGTCAAATACCTATGACTGACATGATTGTTTTTATTCAATCAATTTCTAACAATAAATATTGGCAACAATATTATTGTACTCTGTTGCACTTGTATATCCATCCTGTAAATCAACATAAATTACAATTACAAAGATAAAGACAAGAGTGTGCAAACATGCATTGATAAGAGTACAAATATAACCTATTCACACAAACCTAGGCAAGGTGTGTCCAATTACAGCCAATCAGAACACTTTATTTCATATGACTGTATTGCTTACTATACTGCTCTAATGCACCCAAGGTCTTTTTTAGATTACATCAATTTCATAATTCAAGTAGGCAATTCAATTTGCAATTCAAAATTCATTAACTAAATGATTTTGAATCTTTTAAGTGATATTGTATAAAATATGTTCGCAATGTGTGTAAAGAATTAAAGCCGAAGCCTCAATGCATCGTGGCCGATTCATTCCACTCAGGCATTGTTTCCTAAACTTAGCACTCGATGCTACACATCTCTTGCAAAGTTTGAAACAAAACTTTTGAGGAATGATAATCCAGGTCCAGGTCCAGGGTTACACAATCTTTAAAATATCAAGCGAGCTCAGATCTAGCTAGCAAGGTAAACAAAAAATGGTTTCTATTTTACAATATTATTTGCTCATATCTTCCTTGTCATATTTATTTTCTAAAAACCACACAGTGAATACAGTAAAACTTGTATTAGTGAACACCTTTGTTAAGTGAACTCCATTCCAAGAGACATTTTACAATATGTTTTTCCATATAGAGAGGCCTGTATAAAACTCCCTCTCTACATTTTTCTCTCTGAACATTTTTGTGGCTCCATAGGTGTTCACTATATAGAGATTCTACTGTGGTTTATTTCAGGAAAACTAAAAAATCTCATAATGATGTATTATTTTCTATAATTGTGGTTACCATTTTTATTATTTGGGAGAATTTAAACATTTTCTCCCCCCTTTTGCACTCACCTTGAATCCTTATATTACACCAATTTATAACAGATCACTGATATTTTGGGAGATATTGTATTTAAGAGTGTAAAGAATGGATTGGTAGGTCAATTGTACACGTTGCTTGCAATTCTGTCACCCCCTAAGCGCACACTAGTTTTCTGCATGAGAAAATTGCAAATTCTGCGCAGAAATTCTGCATGAAAAAGTCAAATTTTGTGCCAAATTCTGCATGAAATCCCGAATTCGGCAATAAAAATTGCAGGAAATTCAAATTTCGTGACATAATAAACCGTCTAAAATTTTACTTACCTGCAAAAGACGTAATCTTTAAGTGCAAAACGCGGAAGTCTGAGAATTTTCCACATGTTTCACATTTCTCCTTGGAAATACTCACAACACCAGCTTCCGATGACAAATGACTGTCCAAGGTGTCAAAGTGAGTGACAAATATGAGATGAGCTGGTTGACTGGAACAATCATGTTTTCCGCGAATTTTTGTGCAAAAAATAAAATTCTGCAAAAATTTTGAAAACCAAAATTCTGTGGTTTTTCTGCGACGTTGAGGAATCATGGAATTCTAGTATGTGTGCCTAAGGATCTGATTCACCCATAAGAATCTATATTGCTTGGTCCATAATCTGTAGCCAGGTCTATGATCTACATCCATTGGCCATGGATAAAAATGATAAATATAGTCTTGCAACACACTCTGGTTTTAAAACTATTTATTTCCTCACCCTTCTCAGGGGTTTCATTAGCAGCAGGCAACTGGCGATTTTCACCAGTTGTTTTAACAAAATCCTTTCATGTTAAAGGAGTGGTATCGATATGGAGAACTTTTTGAACAAACATTTCTCTTAAACCAGTCATGAAAAAAATCTAAAAATTTAACACATCGTCAATTTAATGGTCATCTTTTGAATGGTAACAATATAATTTGAAAAACATATATATACTTTCAACTATATTGTTTTAGAAAACACATCAAACACTTGTTTTGTTCTTGGTATCATGTTTCCAGAGTGAAATGAAACATCTTTCCCAACCTCATTGGAACAAAACGACATAAACACAACATGTTTAGGTCTCTCAATATTGTAACTGTACAAAGGAAATTTTGGTTGATTTTAAAAAAGTATCTTGTTAATGAAATAAAAGGTTTATCTTGATTTTTATCTATTTTAGGGTTTTTTTGTTTTAATTTTTTGAATATCTTTTTAAAATCAACCAAAAATTCTTTTGTATTACTATAATATTGAGAGGTCTAAAAACCTGTTGTATATGCTATTTTGTTCCAACAAGGTTTGGAAAGACATTTTATTTCATTCTCAAGAATTGGTAGAAAGGAGCAAAAACAATTGCACTAAAAAAAAAAAATGTTTCTAAATAATTTTCACATTAAATTGTCGTCAATCAGTCAACATTACATAAAATACCGTATTTCTTTACAGAATGTTTTCAATGGTTGGTTTAAGAGAAAAACATTGTTGAATTCAGTTCTCCATATCGATACCAATCCTTTATGATTTCCATTAATTTTGCCTGTTGTGAAATTCTAGTGAAACCCTTGCTTCTGTAGGAGGGTGCATGCTTTTAGGTGTTTGATATGACACTTCACAGCAAATATTGAACACTTTGATTTATTTATATCTATCCCTGCTAAATATCTTCTCGTTCCATTTCCCGAATTTCTCTTAATTGTCTAATAATTTCTTGATTATAGAGTGAATGTTTTGTTACTCTGTTTTCATTTTCCTCGATAACTCTCAGCCTCCCCATTCTGTGAGGTGGCCACACAATGTGTGATGCTTTTGCTGTAATCAAACCCTGGCTAATCTGAAAAAAATATATGTACAAACAAGGCATTAACGTGCAAAATATTAACCACCTGCCATTTGTTACAAATGCCAAACTCTGAACGCCAAACACCAAATGCCAAACACCAAGCACCAAACACTGTCCACAAAAAAGTTGGAGACTATAACAATATGTCAAACCTCTAACATATACCATATTGATTGAATCTATTCTTGATTTATTTGATAACACATAAAATAAAAGTTACAGTTTCTGTATCCATGACAAAGTCTGTATTTATGACAAATACAATCACGTTGAGCTACAATACATGAATACAAATTATCAAAACAATAATTTTATTGTAGAATATGTTTGAAAGATGTCAGCACTAACAGACACTGTGGTAGTGACATCTATAATTGTTGTGAGAGTTTATCTAACTTACAGGTCCAAATAAGTTGCTATCCAGGCTGTGTGAATGGTTGTCCCCCTCAAGCCAGCAATGGCCATCTCTCACTTTGATGTACTTGTTCTTAAATGATAATGTCCTGAAAATGGAACAGAGATTTTTCCATCTACTTTGTTAGGTTGGTCTTTACTACATAATGGTAAAGCATATGAATAAGGTATGCAAACTATATTTATGTTGCTGCATTTTATAGACTTAAGTAGTCTACAGTACTACTTTAATGCTCAACCTTTAATGTACTTTTTAAAGGTGCAATACATATCATTGTTCACATATCTGCCGCAAATATTCTATCCATTGCTTTAACATACGCGTACGAGCCTGACAAAAAGAAGCTGGGCAGAATACTCACTTGACAGTGTCTCCCTCTAGGGCTACAATTCTCTTGATCATTTTCTGCTCAGGATCAGCGGGATTCCTGCAATGAAATAACATACAAGAATGAATTATATATTTTGACAAAAACATTTCTCTTTTCTCTTTCAACTCTTGCTAAAAAGAAAATAATAATAAATCACCAATGCGAAGTCTTAGTGTAAGAGACTTTGCAAAGATTTTGACCTTTTTCAACTTCTGACAACACAGATGTTTCTACAATTAATGTACAGCATATATGTACAAAGGTACAACATGTACTAAGCCTAAAGCATAATTTCCTTTATCTATATTATTTACAATACACAATTAATTAATTAATTCTCAATCAAAAATAGTAATTTGATCTTCTTAAATGTTGCCTTTCAAAAAGCCTCTGATACATCAATTCAACATTCATAAATTATAAAAATTCAATATAGTGTTCACTTGTCATTAAGATTAACTCCTCAACCTTACATTGTGTTTTTAATTGATTAAGAACTGAAATATCCTTGACTTTACAGAATAACATGTCTGCATAATAGGAGATCAATATATGGACAGAAAAAGATACTAATGCTCTGTTTAACATCTGGCCTCCAAATATTTGCAGAAAGTTCAATTGATATTACAAATGTTTGTAGAGTACAACTTTGTTTTTATTTTGTATGAACTATGCTAGCCATGTTCTCTCTTCTGCACCTTTCTTTACCTAATGCTTATCTTTACTAAACACCTCTCTTGACTGAACACCTATCTTGACTGTGTAATTCTATCTCTATTGAACACCTTTCTTGATTTAACACCCTTCTCTTTACTGAAAACTAACTATTTGAAACAAAACAAATTTTTCTGAATTGTATCTTTGAGTATGGGAGATTTTAGATACAAACTCAAATAGTCTAAAATAAGTAAAATGTCACAATATTTCATGGAATCACATTGATCTTCAGATATGGACTAAACAATTAAACAATGACCCTTCAACATAATGTATGAGTTCGAAAACCTATTAATTATAAGGTGAGCATTGTTTATCAATGCAAGTAAACTCCTTCCATCTTTGAATTATGCAGATTTTCATTATAATCAGATACTCAAAGAGGCTACAACAAAGATAAACCAATATTTGGTTGAGAAATAGATGCATAGATCAATATATCATTGATTACCAACACCTTTCACGGTTCTCACACATACAGCTAATAGCAGCTATAATCTAATCCCACCTTTTCTAATTATTAAGAAATTACAATTTAAATCAACTCAATAATATGCAAAATGTAACCACCTAACATTTGTTACAGACAATGAATGCCAAATACTAATCACTGAACACCAACCATCGCCACAAAAAAGTTGGAGACTACAGCAATATGTCCCCACTTTTGAATTTTGGTGGTAACATAAAATTGATTAATAAAAAAACTTTTTTTTGTTTGATTCTAACAGTGAATCATTCCATCTCAATATGTTACAACCTGCGTGTATTGCTTTTATGCCACTTGTCGATTATCGAATTAAAGATAAGCAAACTGAAAATAGGCAAAAATAAGACAAGGACGTCATAGGACAACGGCAGTAGATAATCAGATAAGAAAACACATCTATAAAGAGAAGAATTGATATCCGATGGTCATGTAAATAGAATGTAATAGAATTAATGTACATTTAATAGACTAGATGCAAGTTGAAATAATCTTGATTTATGTCATTAAAAATTCAAAATTCAGTCAAATTGATTAGTAATGTGGTTTTAAAAAGTATTTCTCAACTTTGAAAAATTTCCTTTGAAAATGTGACATCGGGGAGATTCCCAATAGATCCCATATTATAAAATTACAAAAAGTAAAATATATTTTCTTGTATTGGACGGACAGATAATTTTTTCTTTTGCTGGACATATCTTATATAATTTGTATAACTATCAGATACATAAGGGTAATATGAAAATTGAACCATTAAAATTGATGAATATTCAAGTTTAAGGGAACTTTCTACTACCCTGCCATGTTATCTGCCCCGAACTAGCCACCTGATGGTGAAACTGGTAACTACCTACTCCCATCTGGGTTATTATGTAATATGATTCACAAAAACATCAGTTATTTCCCCAGTATTAAAGCAATTGCACCAACTTGAGAAGACTATACTCTGGTGAACACATATTTGTAATGAATAACTGTTTGAAGTGAACACCAAATCCAAGAAATAATGAATGAATTCTAAAACTATTCTGCTAAATAGGTATACCGCAAAAGCTGGAAAAGGCCAGAAAATCCAGGGTTTCGCTGCATTATCAATGATTAATGAAGTTTTTCTCAAACTAAACAAATACAATTTCATGTTATGTATTCAACCACCTGATGTGCCAATATTGATTAGACCCGTGCCTGAATATACAACTTTGGGGTATATATCATTATGCAGATTATTGACACTCCAGATGCTACCTCTGATTCCAATTATCTGCTTATTAAAGAGGATAAGTAAACACTGTATCAAATGAGCCAAATATGTCTGAATTCTACCTTGAAACTTTTCACTAATATTTCCACGATGTTGTTGTTCGAAAATTTAGAAATTTTTTAGCTAATCGTAATGTTTGCCATATGTCTGGTTGAATAACGCTGTTGTAACAGGTTTTAATACTTGTTTTGAGGATGCTGTTTGAAATGTGGAAACTGTGAAAATTCTCCTGATCTGCTTATCTAAGAAGTTGAAGTTTGCCAGTTAGAATTAAAACATAAAACTGGTTTGAATCAATAGATCTGACCTTTGATAGATCAACATGGTGGTCCATGGGAGAAAATAACATGAGGAAGTGAAAACAAAGATATGCAAGATACAGACCAAACAGGAGAGTAAACAGGTGTCTAATCCACAAGTTGGCACTAAACAATGACTCACCTGTAAGAGACTGAGAGGATGACATTAGGTAATGAGGAATGACACCACAAGTATAGACACCAACAACAATCAATACCAATATGTTCTTGTTAACCAGACCCCCTCAGGCCGGTAGCCAGGATTTGCCAAGGGGGGGTTCACTTTTTGAAAAATTCCAGGGGAGAGTTCACTTGTGACAATTTTCCAAAAATCACTTAAAAAGTGCTCAGAATGGTGAAAACTGCATGGTTTTTAAAGATTTTTTGTCGAGGGGGGGGGGGGGGGGGGTTTCGCTCGAACCTATCGAACCACCCCTGGCTACAGGCCTGCCCCTCTTATTTGTCGTTTGGAAAAATCAAGACAAGGAGGCACGGTCATTGCAATGATTCCAACGGTGCATTTTCCAATTGTGACAGGTTAATCTCAGGCATCATTAAACCCATTACTGATTTATTTAATTTTTTCCCCTCAGCAACACTATCTTGTGTTTAAAAACTAAGAATGTAAATCCTAGAACTGACTTGAATATCATTAGACCATCAACTATATGTCATGTTCCATCGCTTTTCTATTATCTGAAACCTGGGGGGTTTACTGTATACAAATTTTGGCGGGGGTCCTAGGCTGAACCCTCAGATATCAATATGTTCCAATACCAATCTGTCAAATTTCAATGTATTCCCATACCAACCAGAATAATACCTAAAAGCCATACTAAATATCCAAATGTAGGACCAATGCCCTACCAAATGTCCAGATATAAGACCAATGCCATACCAAATGTCTAAATGTAGAACCAATGCCATACCAAATGTCCAAAGTAGAAAAAAGCTATTATTCAAACTGAAGAAGGCCGAGAGAAGAAGGCAGATCTATGTGGAAAACGATCAAAAACAACCTCAAATCATGGGCTTTCAAGAGATATGTGTAACTACTAGACCAATACCATACCACAAGTGTGAGGTAAAACATATTTTCGACAATCATTCTTATTTCAGAAACTGGAAAAATCTGACCATTGCCATACCTCAAAAGTCATAATTTTGGGGGCATTCTCATAACAGATCCTAAAATTCAGGTCAATCGCAACACTATCTTGTGTTTAAAAACTAAGAATGTAAATGACCAAATGTCAAAAAAGGTACCCCATGTGCGCCGAGGATCCCCATCAAGGTTTATATACAGTGAACCCCTCGGGATCCGAAACAACACAATGGGAAAAACTTAGAAAAACATTCCAAATAGACATTTCCCAATTTGCTATTGCTGTAACATGTTAGTTTCGAAATGTTATTTATGGAACTGTCTCTAAAAATACCAAGTACCCCTACGGTGCGACATAGTAGTTATAAACCTTAGTTGTAGTTGCTTCAGGACACTCTAAAAACCTTAAACTCATATTTCATGAACTAGACACAATTTTGAAAATCAATATTCATTGGTGACTTTATTCTCCCAATGAGTGCCCTATCTCAACATTAATAGATAGTGCAATTTCGATTTCTACCCAAAAGGGGTTTCCATCATTGTTTCTTATCTCCTGCAGGCAGTGATGTAGTACATTGATGAATACCAGTCTCACATGGAAACATGCAGCTTCATTTGATTTTCTATGAGATATAGTTGATTGGCCATTTGCTTCATTAAATTCAATATCTCAGGGATTTGATCAAGTAGAAAGGAAACTCTGATCTCCACTATTCATTAGATTATGCAAAACAAAATAACATAGTTAATCCCTGGTATAATTACATGTAAAGACCCTGTCAACCCTTATCATTCCCTGGGTTAGAGGAGATGTATAAATCACAACAAGACACACAGTGATAAATATCGCACTTTGAAGAGCAAACTGGCCACCATGCAATTTACCCAGCATGACCAAAACCTAATCAGACCTTGGCACTAGTCTGCTCTTGCATCTGTAAACATTTCAAGTTGACAAGGTTAGCGGTTTTCCTGCAATTTTGATGAGAAGAATTTATTTGTAGTCTTGAACTTTGGGAAAATTTAGATAACATTGTTTGTGACCTAATTTGATGACCTTCGACCTTGAAAATTTCACTTTTTCAGACCTCAGTAGGTGTTTTGTAATTAGCTGACCTAAATTTAAATCCAAAATATCAATTTAGAAAATCAAATTTTTGACCTTTTCAAGGCCACTGAAGGTCA